GGGAAACCAGCAGGGCTGGAAACCAGGGCACCCCTGAGATGCAGATGGTTCCAATGACCTGGGCCTGATTCAAACACTGGCAAAATCCCGACCTCCCTAAGACCCACTGAAGCCAGAAGCTCCCGAACACCCAGCTCTCCCAGCCTCCTCCTGGGGACTCAGCTCCCTGCTCCCAGTGCCTGCCAGGGCAAAATGTACCTTTCTCTCCGGCAGGAAGTGCTAGAAGGGCTTCCCTGGAGTGCTGTTTGGCTGGAACAGGCTCCATATTTTCCTCTCCCATCTCCCTGCAGTATCAAGTGTGTGACTATTGATTTCCTCCTGCATTTGTTTTTGTTATCCATTATTTATAGAACCATTTTTCCATCCTTCGTGCATGAAGGCAAATTTTGTGTAAAAATCAATGCGTGAGCGCCGCCGATGGCTTGTTGCGTTTCCTTGGCTTTCATCTCTAAGACAGAGTTCTCGGGAAATGAAGAGCAGGATGCTGAGGAACAGGACAGAGTGGGAAGGCAAGGTGAGAGACAGTGTCAGGTTTAAACACCTGCCTTAAGAGACCTAACTTGGTAGGGTGGGTGGGGGCTGCAACATTCATATTCTGTTCAGCTGGCCTGGACTTCTAAGGAGGAATTTCAGTCTTTCTGCCCCGATCTGACCCCCACCTCCCTCATTTGCTCAGCTGCAAGGATAGAAGGGGTGGGGTCCCAGCTGCAGACTCTCTTCCATTTCTGTATTTCAGTGTAGAAACCTACAGGACTGTCCAGGATTGAGGGCGGGTGGAATGCTCTCTAGGGGATTACCCTGTACTCTAGAGAAGCCACCCTGAAGGAACGCATGGTGTTGGGGGCAGGAGGCCAGTGGCGGGATTAAAAGCAGGGCTGACACCTAACACCTGCTCCTAATGAGCTCCTGCTGTATGTCAAACTTCATGGGGACTCTTATATGAGCTTACCATGACTGGGGAGATCAGCTGGTATAAAGAAAGGGCCTGTGTGTGTGTGTGTGTGTGTATGTGTGTGTGTACTGTGCATGCACATACATCTGTATGCACATGTAGGGGCAGGGTAGAGGTATAAAAATAGACATGTTTCTCTGTGTCCCCACTTAATGAGCCACATCCACTTGTGGAGGAAGATATACCCTGCACTGCTCAATGTAGTAGCCACTAGCCACATATTGCCTTTAAATTTAAATTAAGTTAAAATAAAAATTAGTTCCTCAGTTGCATAAGCCACCATTTCAAGTACTCAATGACCATATGTGGTTAGTGGACACCATATTGGACAGTGCTGATAAAGAACATTTCCATAGTCTCAGAAAGTTTTATGGGCCATATGGCCTTTCCAGAATCTTTTTTTTTTTTGGTGCCGAGGATCAAACTCGGGTCCTTGCACTTGCGCAGCAGGCGGCAAAACCACTGAGCTAAATCCCTGGCCCCCAGAATCTTTTAAAACTACTCAGTATTGTTGCCTCCCTCACCATCCCTCTCCCTATCAAATTTTTTATAACTCTTCCAGAAAATCATGAGACATTGAATTATCAGGACTAAAGCCAATACTCTTATCTCATCAAAGTCCACACTATATATATACAAAATCTCTCATACACTCACACACACAAATGCCACCAATATCCATCCTTCAGGCTGTAGAAGAAGGACCCAAATTTGCCCTCAGGTATAACAAAGCCAGTCTAGAACCTTCCAAACTGGGCAAGGATGACATGAGAGCATTGTCATTCTGGTCTGCAGTTTCTCAGTATCCAAAAGAAAAGTCTGAATTAGATTAAATATCACATATTGCTGATCTATAAACTAAATGTGATGTAGACATGGGTTTAGATATTTACTTAGTTTGGCCCTCATGATTGTTTAAAATTTTTATTTTATGGTAGGAGAGACAGAGAGATATATTTTAGAAATCTAGATGTCCAACCTCTCTGGAAAAAATCAATGTTCTTATGCTGCCACAGTGGCAATCACTGGCAATTCCGAGTACCTCTGACCCCATTAGGCAGGCCCAGCTTCCAATTTACCTCAATCTGCATGACCCCTTGCTGCCCTGTTTGTGGCTCATGTATGTGACCTTGGGCATTTGGGTTCAGTAGTCTGAATTTGCTACTCAACATTTCATCAGTTAATTTTCACCATGATTTCCAACAAGTGAGTGTTCTCTCCTCCAGTTAACTGCATGTTCCTTTGGACCTAAGTGATAACTGTACTATGTGGCAACGTGAATAGGAATGAACTCATTTTCAAGGACTGTTTGGGCCTCTAGAGAAATGGCACTTAGATCCAGAGGAGACCACAGATGCCTCTGAAAACTTGCTGAAAGCTGAAGACTTAGTAAGAGTAAGAATGTATATAAAGACATCATTTTGCAGATAGTTCCAGAGGGACGACACCTCCCCACCCCCCCACCCCGTGCATCTCCCTGGCTCTCCCAGGAGTCCTGAGAAACTGTTCAGAATCCCTACTTTGGAGACTTCCAACTAAAGTAGAGGGATGGACACATATATCAGCTCCACTCTCCCCCAAAACCTAACCTTAAAGTAACAACTAAAGAATATTTAATAGCATATGCCTTTATGGCCAAAGAATGATAAAGGTGACTTTTTTTTAAATTTGAGATGCATAGCAAATTCTCTGACAGATTTACAAAGTGATCGTACCACACATCTCTGGAGCTGTACTTAGGATGAGACTGTGAATGAGTAGACCCCAGGCCACCTCCTCCACCTAGTATAGTGGGCAACTGCCTTTCCTCAACCTACCAGGATACTAGGAATTTATCCACTGGAAATATTTTTTAAAAGCCATTTATTGTTGGGACATCAACCATAGTTAAGGATAGAAAATCATATTGAAAGCAACAGAATTAACTGTACATTTTAAATGTTGAAAAGTCCATTCCCCTTCTTCACTCAGCAGCTTGACCATGGACACATATCAAACTAGTACAAAAAAAAATTAAGACGGGGCCGGGGATTTAGCTCAGTGGTTCTGCCACCTTCCTTGCAAGCGCAAGGTCCCGACTTCAATCCCCAGTACCAAAAAAATAATAATAATAAGATTAAGGAATCACGAAGCAAACAGCCTAGCCAGACTATGATAAGTAGAAAAACAAAGTAAAACCATCCAGGTATGGTGGTGCATCCTTGTAATTCCAGCTACTTGGGAGGCTGAGGCAGGAGGCTCTCAAGTTAAAAACCAGCCTGGGAAACTTAGACCTTGACTCAAAACAAAAAATAAAAAGGCTGGAGTTATAGCTCAGAGGTAGAGCAGCCCTGGGTTTAATCACCAATTGTGGAGAGAGGGAACATGTGCACAGAGCTCCCAATAATAATGTTTACCCAATTAACTAAACTGTATCTAATACAAGGCACAAAGACCAAAACAGAAAATAAAAGCACCTAAAGAAATAGACTCTGAGGGAATAAGAAACTATGAATAATATTCTCAGAAATATAACTGAAAATAGAGTACCGATATAATAAGAAAAATATTTTTAAAAGAGCAAAAAGATCTGTTAGAACATTTAAAAATAATAACAGAAGTTAAAAATAAAAGGATTAGAAGATAAAATTGAGGAAAACATCACAAAATAAACAAAAAGGCAAAGAGGAAAATAGTATAGAAATGATAAGTAAATCAGAGAATCTGTCTAGTTTATCCAGAATCTAAATGATAGGCATTCCAGAATATGCAAACAATGAACAGAAAACTTCAAAGAAATCATACAATAAATTTATATAACTTATAAGCTTCCAGATAGATAAAACAAGTTTCTTATAAAAATTAAGGAGAATGGCTGTCAGCAGACCTAGAAGGGAACCAGTTTGAAGCAGCTCAGAAGGCTCCAATGGAGATTTCTGCAAGAAGATTAGAGCCAGGAATTTAGCTCAGTGGCACTGCACCTGCCTCACAAGTGCAAGGTCCTGAGTTCAATCCCCAGTACTGCAAAAAAAAAAAAAAAAGAAGAAGAAGAAGAAAAAGATTAAACTGATATAACACTTTGTATATTTGAAAGTGTTGAGAGGAGAGTCCATAAATGAGGAGAATTCGTAGTTAGTTAATAATAAACATGCAAAAGACCAAACAAAGAACAAAAATCAATAATTATTAATGCCCAGAAAAAGAAAATATCATTCAGGAAAGGGAAAGTAATTTATCTTACATGGATCCTCCAGGGCTGGAGTAAATACTGTTTACATATAAAACATGGACATTGACAATTGATCTAACCAAAATTCAAATTTAACCAAACAGTGAGGGGAGGAGAACTGGAGTAGGAAAGAGAGCTTTATGTCCACCTTTACTGCAAGGAAGTGATCAGAACCCTTACCACTGAATGATCAAGAGGCACTGAGGCACACATGATGGCTAGAGATTGTGGGGTAAATGCCAGCAGAACCAGCTGAAGGAGTCAAAAATTCCTGCCTTGGGGAATCGGGGTATGAGAGCAGGACAACTAGAGAACAGTTCTTTTTCAAACCAAGCCTTGCTAAACTGAGTCTTTAAACTGCAGATACATATAAACTTTAATTTCAAAAATAAATGAAAAGAATGGACATCCTATGGTGACTCTGGGGAATAACATAAACATCACCAAGTTCCTACCTCTCGAACTTTTTCAATCTTATAACACAACCTGTGACAACTCCTGTGATGGCATGGAGCCTATCATCCTTCTGGGGGAGAGGCATCTCTTCTTATAGTCCCCACCCCGTGAAACCACAGGACCTGGGCTTCAACTGTGAGTATGAGTCCAGCTTCGAGCACAACACCAGCTGGTTTGATCCAGAGAAGACGTCTAACATTTCATGCACAAAAAGGAAGCCCACATATGGGCTTCATCCCACGTAGTTGGTAGCTGACGGAAAGACAGAGGGAGCAGCTCCCTCCGTGCAGTGGTCTAGTTTGATTTCCAGGAGCACACTTTCCTCTCCAGTTGACTCTTAGCTTCCTCCTAGCGTTTTGTAAAAAATCATGTCAAGTTCCATACCTTGGTGCCACCCAATGTTAAGCTGAATCACAGAGCTCTGGAGGCTATTTTGAGTCTCATTAGCTTCCTGACTTTTTTCTCTCTGAGGGGAAAGGAAGAGAAAGAGGAGGGTGGTGTTTGTAGGCTACACAGTATGGTAACAGGGATAATTCAGACAGGTTAGAACAGGTTCTCAAACACTGCAGGCAGATCATGATCAGGCTAATTTGGTCAGCACAAGCATTGGTCCTGAGCTGTCAAGAATGAGCTATTACCAGTCCCCAGTCCGAGTACAGGCTCCATGGGCCAGGCCATGGGCTGGGTTCCAGGTTCACAGCACCTTGGGCAGGGCCCATCATAGAGTAACAATATAACAAATATGTGTTGAATTAACTCATTCTATTTCTATTATATTATAATAGGCATCTACACAGAAATCAAAAGAGATTCCTTTTTTCTTTTTCTTTTTTTCCAGTTCTTTGGTCAACTTGTGTAGGGAATAAAAATTAAAAATAGACTACCATATGATCTAGCAATCACACTATCGGGTACATAGCCAAAGAAAATAAAATCCACAGGTCAAAGAAATATCTGCACTCCCATGTTCATTGCAACATTATTCACAATAGCCAAGATGTAGAATTAACCTAAGTATCCATCAACAGACAAAGAAAATGTAGTGTATATGTACGTAATGAAATACTACTTGGCCCTAAAAAGGAAGTCCTTTCATTTTCAATCACATAAATGAACCTGGAGGACATTATGCTAAGTGCAATAAGCCAGACACAGAAAGATAAACACTGCATGATCTCATTTATATGCTGAATCTTTGTTTTCAATTTTAAACATTATTAAATTCGGGACACATAAAATTATTCTCTCAAACTGCAATGTTTCTTATGAAAAAATAAAACAAAATTTTATAACAAAAAGAATAACAATAGTTAATACACTATCTATTGTCATCTTCAAAGTAGTTACTCAGAGTACAAGACATCAACAAAAAAGATTTTTCTCTCACAACAAACAGATATGAACACAAAACTTTCTTTTCAGTGAACTAAGATGTATGTGGAATCTTAAAAAGCTGAGTTTATAGAAGCACAGAGTAGAAGAGTGGTTACCAGGGACTAGGATAGACAGGTATTGGCCAAAGGATACAAAATTTCAGTTAGACAGGAGGAATGAATCCAACTGTATGGTGAGATGAACATAGTTAATTACAATGTATTATATTGTTGAAAATCACTGAGGGTAGATTTTAAGTGTTCTCACCACAAAAAATGATAAATATAAGAGGTTATATATAGTGAGCCATTCTACAATGTATAAGTAATGTGTTGTATTCCATAAATATATATAATTTTGGACAATTAAAATAAATAAGCTTTTTCACACCCTTGCCACCATGTTGTGAATATACCTCCTCTCTATTCACTTCTGCCATGATGAACTGTGGTGCAACAGGCCCACAAGTAACAGGACCAAGACACCCTGCGCTGGAAACCTCTGAATCCATAAGCTACAATAAGCCTTCCTTTTTTTCTTTCAATACTTGGGATTGTACCCAAGCCCTTTGCATTGAGCTACAGACACATCTTTTTTTTCTTATTTTCAGACAGAATCTTGCTAAATCATTAAGTTGCCCAGCACAGGCTTGAATTTGTGGTCCTCCTGCCTTAGCCTCCCAGAGTCCTTTGATTACAAGCATGTACCACCATGCCCAGATGTCTTTTCTCATAAAAAAAAAAAATGCACAGTTCAGAGTTTTCATAATCATTTTACTTATTTTATACTGAGTCAAGTGAAGATCTTCAGAAGCCTTACACACTGACTACCTTATGTTACCCTTTCTTCTGTTTCTGTAATTAAAACAAAAGCAGAATCACTATCCTATAAAATACATGAGAGGAATTCTACTAAAATTCAAAATTTGACTATGAGGATAATTTTTACTTAAATATCAAATATTGAAGTCTTCTAAATAAAAAACTTTGCCCTGCAAGTGTCTTAAGTGCATGTTTAGTCTGCTTAGAGCTTTCTATATGGCCTGTTGCCTCTGGAACCCTCTAGGGCCCAGAAGAAAAACCTAAAAATAGCCACCAACCTTCTCAACCACTTTGACACTATAAGATCAGGAAAAACAGGATGGAGAAGAAAAGAACCAAGGAGATAAAAGAAGAAAAGGCCATTTGTTTATTTGGGGTTTTTTCGTTTTGTTTTGTTTTGGATTTTTTTTGGTGCCAGGGATCGAACTTGGGTCCTTGCGCTTGTGCAGCAGGTGGCGAAACCATTGAGCTAAATCCCCGGCCCTGTTTATTTGTTTTTAAGGAAGAAAAGATGGAAGGGAAGATAAACAAAACCAGTAGGCAAAGGCTTTAAATGAAGGCCCTCACTCTAGTACCTGCTCTGGAAACCATTTTTAAATGGTAGCCCCCAAATGACATTTGTATTTTTCCCTAAAGTCTCAATGGCTTTCTATGCTAATATAAACAGACAGTATCTTTTAAGTCTTTCTGACACAGTAAAATGATAAAAGAAGAGTGCCTAATGTGTTTACTACTCTTCTTAGTTTTATTAAATATGCTTCTTGGTATTCCAGGGCCGGGGATTTAGCTCTGTGGCACCACACCTGCCTAGCAAGCCCAAGGTCCCGAGTTCAAGCCCCAGTACCCCCAAAAAAACTGCTTCTTGGTATTCCACAGGCAAATGCAAAGAGGGAAAATATTTTAAAATTTTTATATTCCATGCTACTTTAAGAAACTTATAAAATTTTTTGATTAGACAGCACTTTTATTTTTTCACTGTCAAGATCTAGGAATGATTAGCTATAGATGGTTATCCATAGCAGCATTCACTCTTGGGTTGGAAAGAGGTATCATCTCACCCAACCATGTATCTGACCCTGACCCACACACACCTAGCCTAATTCACCAGTGTCTCTGCTGGGATCGTCAGATGGGGACTCACAGCTTCGTTCACTCTTTGAACCACGGTGAACACCCAGGCCTTCTTTCTTGTGTGGAGCCCAACTGTTTTCTCTGTATGATTTTTACCTCCTACCTAGTTATACTCTTAGACCCCATAACAAGAGTAAGACTTCTTCCATATAAAAATCCTTCTGATTTCACCCCTAAAGACATGAGTTCATTTTCTTCTACAGGAGCAAACATGGCATAGAGGAAAGAGCACAGCTATCATGCCAGACCATCCTGAGTTAAGTCGTTGGGTCCTGTGATTTGTTTGTTGTGTGACTTTGGATGAGTTCTTTAACCTTTCTAATATCCCATTTGTAAAATATATATTATAATAGATATACTTCACTGAAGTATATAAAACATCTTAGAAGGGGCAGGCAGCAATCTTAATATAGGAACACTCCAGGGCTGGGGATTTAGCTCAGTGGTTCCGGTGCCTGCCGCGCAAGCGCAAGGTCCCGAGTTCGATCTCCGGTACCAAAAACAAACAAACAAAAGTATAGGAACACTCTATACATTTTAAAATTCTACCTACATGAGGCTTTTATGTGGTCTTCGCTGTGAATGTGGAGTGTTGAGACAAACACATCTCACTTTTATGGGAGTGGGGTGTGGTTCAACAATAATCAAGAACAACTCATCACTGAGTTTCAAATATTAAATATTTATTCCTCTAACATGATCACCAAATACTTTACTGTTATTTACCATAAATAGGTGGTCCTCCCTATCTGAGTTTTCCATTTATGAATCTAAACTAGTGTAGATCAAAAATATTTGGGAAAAATAGCATCTAAACTGAACACGAACAGATTTTTTTCCTTGTCATTTTCTCTAAACAACACAGTATAATTATTTACATAGTGAATACATTATACTAGGTATTATAAGTAATTTAAAGATGACTTAGGATGTATATAGGTTATATGTAAATACTATTGCATCTTTTATAACAGAATTGGTTTTCACAGATTTCAATGTACTCAAGGGATCCTGGAACCAATCCATTGATACTAGTGGCTGACTGTATTAACCAAATTATTTGTAGATCTCATTTTTTGCACTAGAACAAAAAGGTTGCATAGATTTTATTTTCAAACTAGGCTACTTGTTCTTACAGGCCACCTGTCAGTGTGCAGATTCTAGTTCTATCTCAATTTAGTCCATGTTACACAGTGATGTCCAAGCTATGAATTGAATGTGTTCCCCCAAAATCTATATATTAAAGTCCTAATCCTCAAGTGATGGCATTCGGAGGCGGGCTCTTTGGGAAATCATTAGTCATGAGGATGGGCCCTCGTGAATTGTATTAACGCCTGTATAAGAGGAGACATGAGAGAGGCCATCTCTCCCTCTCTTGACCACGTGAGGCCAACATGCAAAGGCAGCCATCTGTGAACCACAGAGGGCTCTCACCAGACATGAAACCTGCTGGCATCTTGAGTTTCAACTCCCTGGCCTCCAGAACTGTGAGGAATTAATGCTGACTGTTTGAGCCACTCAGTCTTTGCTATGTGTCACAGCAATCCAGCTAAGTATGTGTGTGTAGAGGGGTGAAAACAGTCATGGATAGATTACAAAATGGGATGCAACGTTTATACTACCTTCAAGGAAATAAGAATTGAAAAATTCTGACTCAAGCTATTATCCATATTCCAATATGGGCACTTTGGTAGGGGGGGAGTACAATATAAATTTCTCAATCTGCTCAAGTAATCAGAATTATGCAGAGACACTGTGAAAAACATAGATACCTGGGTCCCTAGAACTATATCATATGCTCCAGGCAGAGCATCTCTAAGAACTCTGCCCAGCTCACATTCTAGAATTCCACGTATCTAACAGCGATAACATAAAGCAGTTGAGTCAATAATGTGGAAGCCCTTTTTGAAATGGAAAGACCCTCCTGTGAAAAATCAAGAAATAGCAGCGCTCCCATCATTGACCTAACAGCTTTAGTAAAAGTGACAGGACCATCCTACACAATGCCAGAAGCAATGGAAAAACACTACAGGCAAAGCAGTCAGAAAGTAAAAGAAAAGTGTAGTGGGAAGTCAGCAACCAAAGACTTGACTGTAGTCTGCGTTCTAATCATTTCACCAGAGCAATCTGATGGGCAATTCGTGTCTCGAAGTTAAACAAGCTCATAGTTACAAGTATTTGCAAGTCAGAAGGACAGAAAAATGAAGCTCTGACAGGGGAGAACAGGAGACCTGTTCACCACCCTCTCATCTTGGATCCCAGCCAGAGCTGGGGTAGGCGTGGGTGCCTGGCACTACCTTGTCCAGCTCACAGCTCCTGTCTCCTACTGAGCTGAGTCCCCTCAAACCACGAGAGATCTGGTAAGCAGAAACAAGACTATTTAGTCTAGCAACATGTTCCCCCACCTCCCACCTGCCCTGCCATTTACTTTTACACTTATGAACTGTTGGTGTTTTTATTTTTTTATAGGGGTATGGAGGTCATGTTTCTGCCACAGGGTTTTAGAAGCCTGAATGCTAGAAATCCAGGCAATAAATAGCACAGCAATAACCTCTTCCAGTTCTACTTTAAGGAAGTGGTTTTTTTTTTCTCTTCTCTCTTTCTTCTTTCCTTCCTCCTTCCTTCCTTTCTTTCTGTGATGGAGTCTTGCTATTTTGCCACAGGCTAGCCTTGAACTCCGTGGCAAGCAATCCTCCTGCCTCAACCTCCTGAGTATCTGGGATTACAGGTGTAATCTGTTTTGTACAACTATTATTTCAAAACCAAAATAGAGCCAGGTATGGTAGCACATGCTTGTAATTCCAGCACTCTAGAGGCTGAGGTAGGAAGATCACAGTGAGTTCAAGGCCAGCCTGAACTACATAGTGAGACCTTGTCTCAAAAAATTAAAAAAATAAGCCAAAACGAATATCAAATACAAGACATGCTAATGCCTATACACATCCTCACACAGTGTCACTGCTAGCTGCTTCAGAGATCTCCTGGTCCAACCCTCACATTTTATCAAAAGAAACGAGGAGTCAGAGAAGGGAAATTTCCAATTCAAAATCTCAACTTTGATTGTTGGGGAACCTAGTTTATGACCCCTAATGTGCTTTTTACTCTCTGCCATGTTGCCTCTTGGGAAATTAACTACTGAGTTACTGAGTTCTAGAAACTAATTTTGCTATTTGGAGCCTCTATTGGCGATTTGTTCATTGTCTAATTGGCATTTTGTTTTTTCCTTCAGTGAAATTCTTCCCAGTTTGTTAAACTGGTTTCATTGTTTACAGGTATTTGGTTATAAATTCAGATAGGCAATAAGGGAAGACCTTCAGCTCACCTATTCTAGAGGTTTCTAACCAGGGATCCATGAATCGCTGGTTGAACTTCAAGAATTTGGCAAAAATTTTGACTGCAGAGAGGGTTAGAGAAAGTTTTCCCAAAAGTAAATTACCATCTAGTTCTACTTTCTCAAGTTATTGGAGAAACTGAGGCACCAGGAAGCGAATAGACTTGCCAAGGTCACACAGAAGAGAAGGGGACCCGGCTCTCCAATCTCTTTGTGCATATGCCAGGTTCATTCTCAACACCCGGGAGGCCAGTGGTTCTGACCAGTGATTCCACTTCTGTCACCTAAATCTCACAACCTAATCTTTCTACTAAAAAAAGAATCCACTGAAGGTGCATCCAGGGCTCCACACAATGCAGAACCCAGAACGCCGTGCCCTGAGTGGCTCCCAGCAGTAAATCAGGGTCACCACCTTGGAGTTCTGTCAAAGGCAGAGCTTATACTTGGAGGGTCTCCGTCTCCCCCAGGAGGCGCTCAGCTGAGTGCTGCAGCATGGTGCTCAATCACTGCCCTAGGTGGATTAGTAAGTGATGTCACTGGCATCTTCCTCAGTCCTGTCAGAGCTGTGTACAGCAAGGAACTCATCTTCCTGGAGAAATGGGCTCATTTGGAGGTTACAAAAGAATAAAGACAGATTTTTGTGTGTGTGTGTGGTACCGGGGATCGAACTCAGGACCTTGTGCTTTTGAGGCAGGCTCGGTGCCACTCAGCTAAATCCCCTGCCCTAAAGACAGATTTTTAAGAAAATGTAATAAAACTTAGTACTGTATGCACTTAATTATCCAGTAGATAAAGGTACCTCCCTTATATGGTTGACGTCTAACTTCAGAGCAATAACAGACAGGCTGCTTTAAATTCTGTTTAGAAGGTAGGACAGAACTCAAATCTATGAATAAACACTCCTTATCAGCAGAGCATGCTGACTGTAATCTCAGCTGAGGCAGGTGGATCCCTTGAGTTCAAAGCCAGCCTGGGCTAGTAGTGAGACCCTGTCTAAAAGCAAACAAACACAAAAACCCAACTCTATCTTTGTGACTAGGCAGTTTTTATACATCATGGGGTCTTTAACTTGAAATTAATTCTTGGTCAAAAAAAGTAACACAGGATATTAAACAGCTCATGCAGTTTTAAAAATTATTGATTTTATATAAAATTTCCTAGGATCCTTGCTGTGGTAAGAGAATTCAAGATTATTATATTTCTAATTATCTGATATCACAGCAAGATGATAAAGCACAATGACTAAGAATGACAAATCAACAAACAATGGCCAATAAAATGTCTGTGGAGATTCTGAGAATGTTGCTTACCTTCAGCAGAGGCAAATGGGCGACTTGGGTCGAGGAGAGGAAAAAGAGTTTTCACCGAAAATCTTTTAGTTCTCTCGAATTTGCATCATGTATTAACTAAAACCCAGATAAACCTTGAATTAAAAAAAGAAAAAAGTGTCAAAAATATATTATTTACACATGTAATTAACTAGCAGAGTAACAGTGATGGAGGATAGGTGTTGACCAAATTGCCCTTCTGTGTTATTCAACTTTTAAGCATGAATTAATTTGACAAATATAAAACCGATTACCAACTTATCTTACAGGTACAGGAACTGAGACCCAAGGCAGGGGGAGACTCCAGCCTCCCAAGGGGCAGGACAGAGACACCAGCTCAGGTCACTGCGTCTCAGGCCAGAACATTCCTTCATATGGACAGCACCTCTGCAGGAGCTAAATGCCTACTGATTATTGTTATTGTTGTTGTTGTTGTTGTTGTTGTCATTAAGACATTTTTAGAATATCTGAATAAAATCGACCTCTCCTCATTCTGATCTGTCCTAATAACTGTACCCTTTTTTTATTCATTCAATTACAAGCAAATTGACAGGAGACATTTATATGAGGCAGCTTAAATCCCAGCTAATGGAGTGCCTAATGACTAATTGATCAGATCCCAACCCAGAGAGCAGCTCTGAGTGGCCTAAAGGAATTTATGCAATTAGTTTAGGTTTGGTAGAAATTGAGTGCATATGAAAGTAAGCTTTTTATGGTCTTGATTTATGAGGGTTGGACATTAACTATATCTGCCAAGAGGTGAGCTGCCTAGCAAAGGGGGGGGGGGCGTTCCTGTCGAGGGCAGAGATGCCGGCTGGGGTTTGAGTAGGGGTGATCTGTCTTGGGGGTAGGAGGAAAAAAGTGGAGGAAAGAGAAGGTGAGCTTGGGGGTGGGTTTCCGGCCAGAGGTTTTGTAATTCTAATTTTTCCCAGGATAAATACATGGAATTTGTCTGTGTGAAACCTTAGAAATAAAAATCTTTTAAATATTAGGGGAGAAAGAGGGAGGGAGAGCGCCCCCGGGCTGGGCTGAACTGCTGAGGGGCGGAGAACCTCGGGTAGTCGGAGCCCAGCTCCCCAAGGGGCCTGGAGCAGCGCTCGGGCTTTTCCGGGAGCACCGGGGTCTCGACCCCACACGGGCCTCCGGTCGGCCGTCCGGGGAAGCCCCTTACGGAAGCGCCGGCGAACCCCCCCCCCCCCCCCCCGAGCCGAGGGAGCCTGGCTGGTGCGGAAGCGCCGTCGCGGGGCGGAGGGAAACCTGACCCGATCGGAAAGAGCGATCGAAGCGGAGCCGCCTTCGCCCGCAGGGTCCTCACGGGCTCCGCCCCCGCGGGCTGGGGGAGGGGCGCCACCGTGGGGTGGGGTGGGGTGGGGTCCACGTGGCCCTCGCACGATCGGGTCACGGTTTCGAGCCTGTGAGTTTGGAGGGTGGAGTAGAAGGGTGGAGTGAGACACCAGCGAACAGACACCGAGCAGAAACCAGACTGGAGAGGCCGGGCCGGAAGAGAGGAGCGGAGTCCCAGACGACCAGGACCGCGAGCCCTGGCTGGGTCTATCTTGAGCACTGGAGAGGTGAAGAAATAAGATTTTTTTTTTTCCAGATCGCTTCACCAAACTGCCAAATTCATGCCTTGTCCTGGGCACGTTGCACAAACCTTTTTCGCCTCCATATACTCATCTGTAAAATGGGATTTTAAATGGTACATACTTAAGATGTTGCTTAGGCCTGAACAAACGAACGCTGACTAAGCGCTTGGAACACTATCTGGCACACAGGAAGCCCTGCATGCAGTTCAGACCTCATTATTCAGTTATGGAGCAACCCTCACTGGCGCGCTCACACCTACGCGCGTGGCAGTTTAACTGGGGAGGAGCTATTTTAAGTAAAGGGGGCCAGCCAAGTCCCTGCCCTCTCATTTGGTACAGAGGATCTTTTAGCCGTTCTGGCCTAGGGCTTAGGCCTTCGGGCGCTGAGGCCAAAAGGTGGGAGCAGGGAGAGAGGTGGGATCAGAGACCCCAGGCCACTCCTCCTTTTCCCAATGGGAGCCCTCCTCCTCTGGGACCGCAGACCGTGCCGGTTGTGGGCATTTGCCTGCCCGCCCGAGAGGAAGTCCCGAGTTCAAGGAGCCGCCAGCTGGGGCCGAGCTTGTCAATGGGAACTATGCATATTCTCACCAAGGTGAGAGAGAAAATTGCACCGTCCTCTCCACAGCCAGGCCACACGTGGTGCGAAGTGGCTTCTTTTATACTTTCCATCTCAGTGATGACCAGGCAGCAGGCTGATAGCACCGCTACCCACATTTCATGGACGAACAGACTTGGGCTCATAGAGGAAAAAGTCCACCTGATTTCACTTCTGAGTATGAGGACTATTTTAAAAAGCATTAGATAGCCATTACTGTCCGCCACGGGTCAGGCCCTGGCCTTACGTGATTTCATTTAATCATCAGAGCAATCCTGAGTCTTTTTCTCCAGTTTCAAATATAAGGGCACCAAGGTCACTGGACTAAGAGAGCAGTTAGTCTGCCCCGATTCTATCCATTCCTGAGCCAGAGCTGTGGTCAACTCAGCAAGAAGGCAAAAGAGCCCAAGCAGGCCCAAGAGAGGGCCAGACACACAGGCTCAGGCAGAGTCACCCTCTGGTTCTTCTCCCAGAAGCACCACTTCTGTACCCATCCGTGACAGCTATCGAGTGAGGCGCAGCCTCTTCTGTTTGAGCAGGACACTGGCTGCCTTTGAATGGAAGCTCGTAGTGTAGACCACCAGTGCCGGAGCGCTCCTCCCAGGAAGGCTGCCCATCCCTTATGGTCTCTGTTCTTTCCTACAATACCTAAAATCCAAGGACAGTTGAGCTTCTATTTTACAAAACAAAACTTATTCATGCATCCATTCAACAAATAACTGTTTTTCTGTACTCTGGGCCAGGCTCTGAGCTGTGCACTGGGCATGAAGCAGAGAACCAAACTGACTACCTGAGGCACAGAAAAAGGAAGCCACTCATCCAGAGGTCATAGGCTCAGGAGCCCAGGACTCCTACTGCCGGAGCTCTGCTGGTGTGTGCACGGGCTCAGCCAGGCGGTGAGGTGAGGGGCCCTCCACCTGGTCCCCAGAGGACTCACACTCTCAGTCTCACCTGCACAGGCCCGATGCAGCTCTCTACACAACCCGAACGCTGGCCTGGAAACAGGTTAAAGAGACTCCCACTTGGGTCTTAGGCGGTAAATGTTGCCAGCTGGCGGGATCTGAGGAAGGAAAACCTGCCGCGGGTGCTCTTTGAATATATCCTCAGTTAGGCTTCAGAATCAAGTTTTAGTTTTACATCCGTCAGCAGAGGCTCAGGGAGGTGATGTGACTTAACCGCGGTCACATGGTTAGGAAGTGGCCCTCTGGGGATGCAGGCTAGGACTGTGTGAACCCCAGGCCTGCTGGCACCACCTCCCCCAAGAGAGGTCTGTGCCTCCCCCGGACGAGTGTCAGAGGCGACTGCACGATCCCGGGGAAACCACATCTCCCTTTGCTTCCTGAGCGAGCCGAAAGAGAGAGGCTGCGGCGCCGGCCGGGCGCACTCAGGGGGAAGGGCGAGGCTGGGGCGCCTGGAGGACAGGGCCGCAGCCGCCGCCTGCAGGTACGGGCCGGTCAGGGTGCTCCGCGCCGCCGGCGGTCCTCGGCGCCTGAAGGGGGAGACTCAGAGTTGCTGTCAGGCGACTCCTCTTGGCCCCCTCAAAAGTCTCTCAAACTTTTGCGGTCAATTTTTTTCTTTAAATTTTAAAAATAAATAACAGCTGGGAACTTTTCGAAAAGGGGGCGGTGGGTAACGGATTCTTTCCCTGGCTAGAAAACCCGAAGGTTCTTACCTGCTGGAAACCTAGCAGCCCACAAAGGCGCGTCCTTCTGGAGCGCTTCACTTGGGCGCGCGCGGGACGCTCGCGGCCGCCTGCTCTGCAGCCCGGCTGGGCTCCGGCCCTGTGTTTTATACCACTATAGGCAATTAATATTGCATCAGCCGTATTTTAAATTTTCAAAACCCACAATATAATGTAATGGCATAAGGCCATTTATTATTAAAGGACACCCGATGGAGAGGGAGGTGGAGGAATTGCTAGGGCTGTTGAGCAAGGCGGGGGCGAGGGGCTGGGGCCCAGGAAGCTGGGGAGCTGCCCACAAGTTCGCTTTTGCCGTGGGGGGCGAGGGAGGGGTACTGCGAAAAGCGGAAACCGACTCTGCTCCGAATCGGGCCAACATCTAAGGACCGGAAGCTCTTTGAGGACTCAGCGGGAAAATTTTCAGACGACTCCGGGACTTGTAGCATTAATTTTTAAATCATGAAGGTATTTTTGCGGCTCACAAATAAAAAGGTCCTCCCCCCCTTAGAGGAAACAGAAAGAAGGGGACTGGCATCTGTTGAGCACCTACTATGTGCAGAACATTACACCGGGTCCTTTGAAGCGGCTCTCTCAAATTAATCCTTCCACAGAGAAGCCGAGTCAGGCTGTCGTAGAAGACAACTTCAAATGAATTTTTAGGAGATCCAGAAGTCTCCAAAAGACACTTGTTCCACTAATCACTTTCCTCCCTCTTTACCTCTATTCCCTCATCTCCTCCCCAGTCCTTTCAATCTTTAAAAGTGATTTGTTTCCTATGAAATGCCAAACATCACCTACCAGATGCATTAAGTAAACAACTTGACCTAGTCCTGACAATAACCGTGAGAGTTGGGTGTTAGGTCTCTATTCTGTAGCTAATCTCATTAGAGAAGTTAGGAAACTAGCCTATGAGTAGAGGAGAGGCATAGGGGCTCAAATACCCACTGTCAGGCTTCAAAGTTTGTGATCCTAGTCAAGGTGAGCTAATACTTGACAGATTGGCACTGGGTAGTGGGGGGGAAAATGCCTTGAAACCTTGGGATCCAGAGAGGACCAGCCAGATATCCCTGGAGGAGACCTGGTGTGAGCACAGGCTGCCAGAAGAGGAATGGGGAGAAGAAATGGCTGGGACTGGACAGAAGGAATGTGACAGCCAGCCTGGCCCTTTGAGGTTCTCACTTTTAAATCCTTCCCAAGACTGGGATCTCTTAGCACCTGAGAAGGAAAACCACTGCGATTCGGGTCGAAAAATAAAGCATTTATTTTAGAAGTTAATTGAGAGGGTAAAGAGAGAAGAAGAAAACTTAATATTTTATTTGTATCTATTTTGAGAATGAAACCAAAGTTCACACACAGCAACACGCAAACTACAAAGAAGCAACGAAAAAATAAAATATGAGCCGGGTGGGAGGGTGAAGGGACCGGTGTGTGAAGAAAGGGTCCAGGTTGGTGGTCCTGCTCCTCTTCCCGCCAAAACTATAAGTGAGCCTCCACCGAGAGACATTTGGTGAAAGGGAAGGAAAAAAGTGGAGTCAAACAAACAAGAGGAACGAAGGGTGCTAACAACAGCAATAAAAGCGCAACGAGGTTAGATGTGTTGGGAGGACTTCATAGGATTCGGAGAAGTTACAGTCGCTTTGGAAGCTCTGAGCTGGCAGTCTGGCAAGAAGGGTGAGCTGAGGTCGGAGAGTCCTCAGTGGGTCGGATCCCGAACACTACCAACCCCTGCTCTCCACCGGGAGGTAATTAACACTCAAAAGCCACCAGGACAGGAAGAATGGCCTGAGTAGGTGCTGGCTGCTGCTTGCAAATAGGCTAAGGATCCCAACTTTTTCAGTCGCTGAACTGAGCCCTCCTTTTCTGGACCCTTACTTACCTCGAACAACTCCGAGCCCCTAACTCTCCGTACACTTTCCCTGAACCTAATTCATGCTTTGTATGAGGATTTACGGCAAACCAAAGGATAAGATGGGTAGAATTTAGGCTAAGGGAGTATAAGGCTAGCCTTTGGAAACATACGTGTATTTTATATACTCTAATAAATCTCCAGTACATGTTTGTGTTCCACTTAGATATCCTAGACTCTATATTATTACTTATCGTATCCTTTCCATTCCTTCACCCCTTGCCTAGCCCTTAGCAAAGTGGCGCTTTCACCCCAGCTTCGGGCGGCGGGGTCCATTCACCGTCCTCTGCTCCGGGGCTCCGGCCCGGAGGCGCGCGAGGCAAGTTTCAGCACCCGGGACAGCAGAGTCCCTCCGGGCCCGCCCCGTCTTGCATTTTTTTCCGAGCGCCAAAACTTTTTTGGTGAGAATAGAAAGGAATAAAAGAGAGAGAGTAGGCTGGGGAGGCAACTAGGCGGGACAGAAGGGAAAGTCTGTGGTTTCGGGAGAGAGAGCCTGACCTGCTAGGAAACACCTGGATTTCCCTATGACCGTCCCTCCCATCAGAAGGGGGCGATGCGCGCTAGACTCTCCTGGCTCCCGACGCCGCGCCCCGCCGCAGTCAGTGGACAGCCGAGTACTTCATTCGTTTCTGTTTCTGTCTCTGGTTACAGAACCAGACCCTCACCACATTCTTTTTAAGGTCCAGTTTCTCCGCAATGGCCGCGATCTTCTCGGATGAAGGACGGGGCTGGATGGCGAAGTAGGCCTCGAGCGAGCGCTTCTCTGGTGCAGCTATGGACGTGCGTTTGCGCTTCCGCTCGCTGCCGTTGAAGAGCTCCGGCTTGCTGTTCTTCTCTCGGTATGCGGCCTCGGCCTCCTCCAGCCAGGCCTGGAGCACTGGCTTGAGCGCGATCATGTTGTTGTGCGAAAGGGTGAGAGACTCGAACCTGCAGATGGTGCTCTGACTGAGCGAGCCCACGCCGGGGATCTTGAGATTGGCCAGAGCCGCGCCCACGTCTGCCTGGGTCACTCCCAACTTGATGCGCCGTTGCTTGAAGCGCTCGGCGAAGGCCTCCAGCTCGCGAGGGTCTGACTCCACGTCGCTGAGGCATGCGGGCATGGCGCTGTGCGGGGCCACGGCGTGCGGGTGACTCATGCCCATGGCCTGGTGCAGGTGGCCCATGGCGCCTAGGTGGTGCGGGTGGATTTGTGCGGGCATCACGGAGTGCTCCGGAGCGCCCAGGCCGCTCACGCTCAGCGTCGGTGAGATGTGCTCCAGCAGGTCGCCCTCGAGGCCCTGGTGAACGGCGTGGTGCGGGTGCGAGGTGAGGGCGGCCGGGTGGGAGATGGGCACGGTGGAAGAAGTGGACGTGCAGGGCACGCTGCTCATGGTATGGTAGGTGGCGTCGGGCTTGAACGGATGATTCTTGCCGTGGGAGACGATATCCACCGCCGCCAGAGCTTCGGCGCGTGCCAGCAGGCTCTCATCAAAGCTTCCAAATATATTACCCTGCAGCTGCAAGCGAGAAGGCGCACGGCATGGTCAGTGGGGAATACTGTCAACTCAGGATTAAAACACATTTTCAAGCAACCGAGATGCCTCTCCTCAAAGCCCAGGTCATAAAAATTAATACGGAGGCAGCAGCTCTGCTGGAACAGACGTGTGGATCAGAGACATGAATGAGAGAGCGCGCCGGGAGAGAGCGCGGGGGAGACAAGGAGAGGGGTTCAGACAGCGGCGATTGTTCTGGGCGACATGAAAAAAACATGAAGCTAGTGCCTGTCAAAAAATGTGCCTTAGAGCGGTAATTATGCTCCACTACGTACCTGCGGGGCTGGGAGACAGACTCGGCGCATGGCCTCGGAGCCGGAGTGCAGGCTGGAGAATTTGGGCTCTTGCAGCACTGGGTGCATGCCGAAAGGCTGCTTGGCGTTCATGGCCATCATCTTCGCGGGTCTGGCTGGGAGGCAGCGGGGGACATGGAATCAGGCTCGCCTCGCTCGCTCGCCGCGCTCCAAGTGAGCGCCGCTCAGCGCCAGCGCTCCCCTCGCCCTCTCGCTTGCTGCCTCCCCTCTCCCCCACCTGCTTCTTCACTCATCTTACAAGCAGCCTGCCAGGAAGGGCCCGGGCGCGCGCAGGCGTGCACACGCGCCGGGACTCACAGGGGCGGCCCGGGAGGCGAGGCGAGACAGCAGCTCGCTGCGTGTCTCTCGGCGCCCGCCGCGGCCGCCCCCTCCACGGCATTTATACCCGGCTCGGCCGGGCCTCCCCGGGTCCGCCCCGCCCCACCTGGCTCCAGCCTGCCCGACCTGCGGATTCTTTCTTCGTCCTAGACTTTTTTCTCCCCACGGTCCCAGACCTCTCTGTCCTATCCCACTCGCACTGCCTGGATCAAGGACACACTGGGCTGGGGGCCGGGGATGGGTGGGTGGGGAGGAAGCAGAAAGTTGACCCTACTACACCCACCCCCTATGCAACGTCGGCCGGCTTCCAGGCGCTCCTGGCCCCAGGCCCGAGCCGTCCAGCGGAGTCGAGCCGCTCAGCGAAAAGT